CTTGATTGTCTGCTGTTGTCTATTATTGATCGATTTGCTTGTACATGCAGTTTCTCATCATGTTTTCGTCGTGTCAATCAACTTAAAATGGTACCATGGATGATTACTATTAGTTTCATACGAAGTTCTATCTTATCAGTTTATTCACCTATTTTTTTCGACTTGATGCCTGGTGTTGGATGTGATTCAGGATATCCATTAGTCACAAGTGCATTGTATATTATAATCAATGGTTTAATGCAACCCATAGAGATGTTTATTTTTGTTGTATTGACTTATAGAAATATTTGGCAGAGTCAACGACGAGTAGTAAGTATACTCAATATACGATTTTAATAACAACTCAGATTATTTTATTGTAGAATATAGGGAGAAATACTAACTCACATAGTTTTCTAAAAAAAATCATTAAAATGGTATTTCTACAGGTATTAACGACTGGTTTGTTTTCATCGCAATGGGCTATTATGAATACATATGCTTTAATAACGCGAAATTATAAAAAAAGTACTAAGCAGCTATACATAGAAACATCTGTTACTGTTATTACTCTTTATCTCTACTATATAAATAATGTTAAATCATTCTATTGCTTGTTTTTGGGTTCTTCTGTGTTTCGAAAAACATTTATTCAAGCTTTCTTCAAACTACTACCTGCATGCTTACAACCAAGGAGAAATTTGGTACATTTTCAAAATAACAGAATAGCGCACCAATAAACGACATGAATAAAACCTTTATTTCATAGACTATCTTGGTTAATTAATTCATTTTTCTCTCTAATTACATGTACTAAGTTCACAATTTATTAATTTTTTGTTGCATGTTGGTATCTATTGTTTCGTGTTTAGTTGGAAGGACATTGTAATGTGTTCAGTTTTAGTTACTCTTCCATAATGCTATATTTATTTACAAAAGCATTTAATTTACAGACGTTTCAAGAGCATCAGCTTTCTTCTTCAGTGTTTCACAATAAAATACAATAAAAATAAAACACATAAGACAACAGAAATGATAAGTGTATAGCCGTCTATACACAAGAAGTAAGAATATCGGTTATTCTCTACATGGTGAGCTAGGTTAAAATCTATTTGATATATATTGCGATATGATTGTTCATTGAAAGCACAATATATCCGGTCCTGAATCTCACTACTGACAAAAAATAGCACAACG